CATGTTTGAAATATGTTTATATTTTTATTACTAAAAGTATTATTTTCATGTTTTTAAAAACTATAAAAAAAGTACTGTGATGCGTGACGATAATATATTTACTTTTCAAATACAAATTTAACGTTTTATTACTTCTTTTATATTTATTTATATAACTCATTCAAAATAAATATATTCTGGGATTTATTTTGAAAGCATGTACCTACCTAAATATAATAACAATAATAACAGCTAGGTACATATTATATTACAGAAGAACACTTCTAAAATTATTAAACAAATATATTGTAATATTATAAACTAAAATTACCAAAAATAGGCAACAAGTACGTAATAATATAATATAATGTAGTACATTTTACATCAGACATTATAATATTATACAAACGAAAATAATGATTATACTGTAACTATTTAATATTATTTTATTTTTAAACTAGGTATTATTATACTACAGCTAAGATAAGAAACAAAGTATTATAAATAACTCAACAGCAATTAATAAACTGAATTAGCTAATGGACATRAAACAACATTGGTATAATGAAAACAAACTGTAGTATATTTAAGTAGCTGTAGTACTCGAAACCAGAGCCCAAAGTACAGTCATTTTTAAAAAGCTAAAAGATAGTATAAGATTATTTTTTGATTACTCAGTTAAAAACTTTTATTATTTTATAAATACTGTAAAAGGACCACAATTTACGTAATTAAATAATGGTCATTTAATAATTTAAGATGATTATTTTAAAATTTTACAATAAATTCATTTTTTATATAACATTTATGTACACATAATATTATACGGATGAACTTTTATTTCCACTTTAATCATTTTGCGATCTAATGTTCCCTCAAAATTGTTGTTCACCATAATTTTAGTGTAAATAAACATGGTTAAGTGTATATAAAATGTATCCTTTAATTTTAAATCTGTAATATCTTTTTTTTTGTAAACATGGTTCTGAAATTTTAGGTTAAAAAATGGATAAATATTGTAAACTCGGCCTGAAAATTTACATATATATTATTCAATATATAAGGTACAATTAGCTTAGCTGCTTACATTATATCTATAGTGATAGAGATTAATTATCTTTTTTTTTGTAAACAAATATTGTTTTAAATGGTTTATCATAGAAAAATTTCTAGGCTTTATTTTAAAGGGTAATATAATTCAAGCTATATATAATTATATTATAATAAAATATAAAAATATTTGTCCATTGGCAGTATCGAAATAAAATACGAAACATACTGAAAATTCCTTAAATAATCCTTAGAATAAGGTCTGTGTACTTGTCTCAGAAACTATAATTTATACAGTTATATTATTTTAAATATATAATGATGTTATTACATGCATAAATTGTATTATCGACTATTGTAAATATATATAGGCAATAGATATTTATAGAAATAATAAACTATTTTATACATTACCATATAGACGTAACATTAATTATATTAAAATTAAGAGCACATTATTAATATTGTATAGTTTATAATTTATTTTCATCAATGCATTATGTATAGTTTCAATATGTATAGAACAAAATTACATAGACAAACAAATACTAAGGCCCGGTATTACAATCATCGGTTACGTCTTCGGTAATGTATAAAATAGTTTATAATTTATTTTCATCAATGCATTATGTATAGTTTCAATATGTATAGAACAAAATTACATAGACAAACAAATACTAAAATTATTATTTTTGAAAAAAAGTCTTATATCTTCAGTTTAAACGGTTATATAAGTAGACAGTATTAAAAATAAATAAATTGAAATAATCGTGTAACGAAATTATTGAAATTATCAATAACAAATTAATTTCATATTATATTGCCTAATTGGATAATACTAATATATTTTGATTATTGGGACCTCACCATTATTTTTATGATGGACGATGCTTATACCTCTGTTAATGGCCAAATTTCCCTGACAGTGTGATAAATTTA